TGGAGGTGGAGGTGGTGGTGGTGGTGGTGGTAGGGAAGGAAGGGATCCAGGTGTTGAGTTTATGACATTCCCTGGAGAAAGGCCGAGACGGCTCTGTGCTGTTCCAGAGCCCACACACCTGCGGTTTTTCTGGTTTTAACCTCGGCGTCCTACCCTGGCATCCCATGCCCCTCCTCTGTCCCCGCCATGCCGCCACAGCACTGGCAGCTCCGTGCCAGGCTACACATTCATCTCAGGTGTGTTATTTGCCTTTCTCTGTCTGTCCACGGGGTTGGGGCACGTGAAAGGAGGCTGCTACTGCCCCTCTGTCTAAGCGTGGAGGACTCTGGCATGCAGCTGGTGAAGGCCATGCGACCAACTCACTAACCTGGTTTCCTTGTCCTCAGCAGACACTTCGCTCAGCCTGCGGACCGTAGAGGACGGGAGCTGGGCAATCACGTCTTGTTATTCTTACATCATTGCTGCTTCAACTTGGAGTTGTACTGACAACTTTGACCTTGCTGACAAGACTCGGAGTTTCACTTCCCCCGACTTGGGGCTTTCTTTTTAAATCTTTTATTATTTTAAGGTTCCAAAAACTGTATTGATTTTACTTTATTTTTTACCAGTTCGATTGGCACTTTATCCACAGACCATACCATTCACTGGTTCAATCGCATCAAGAAGAGTTGTACAATCTTGCCCACAATCAATTTTAGAACATTGTCTTGTCCTTGTACTCATTGTGATTCTTATAATTATTTTTTTGCAGTAATGGCACAAATATGCACAACAAAATGTTCTCCAATTCAACAACTTCTACATGTGTAATTCAGTGCCATTGACCATGCGCTTCATGTTGTACAGCCATTATTGATCTCCCTCTCCGAATGGTTCCACCACCATTCACACGAACTCTGCCTCCTAAGGAAAAACTCTTCCTCCTGTACCCCCAAGGTCAAGTTTGGGTTCATTGTTTGTTTGTTTTTAGTAGTTTTCTTGATACAATATTCACATATCTTACACATCCACAGTTAAATCGCTTTTAAAAGGAGTTGTGTATAAATCATCACAATCAGTTCCAATGCTCCCGTATCCATTGACTGCTTCCCAATTCCACTCACACACCTGCTGCTTCCTGATAAACCCTGACATCTGTCATTGTCTTTATGCCTCCCCTTCCGTGCCTCATAAACTGAGAAACCCTACAGAAACAATAAAAAACAAAATGAAACATAGAGAAGAAAATAATAATAAAGGTAAAAATAAAGCGTAAGAAAGGGAAAACCACCAACAATATTTTAAAATCCAGAAAAGGTTTTTTGTAGCGAAAGGTATTTGAGCCTAGAACAAATTCAGGTTGAGTGAAGCGGGAGGTCAACTGACCAAGTATCATGTGAAACCATGCTTTGATCCGCCATGATCAAGTTTACCACCATCTGTAACAGTAAAGCTGTTCGACTCCCTCGCCTGTGGCTAGAGGGTATCTGCCAGAGGTTTATTCTGACTGGAAGCTCTGCAGGTGGATTTTGGACCTTCACTGTCTTCCATGGCCTTCTAAAAATGGGGTGTAAACAGTTTACGCTCTGATACGTTTCTCTTCATCGTTCATTTGGGGCTTTCTCTTCTTACCAACAAAGTGTATTGAGCATCATCTCCCTAAACACGCCTGAGCAAACATGGAATTTCTTAGAAGGCACCCTGGGGAGCAGATTCCCCAGCAGACAGTTTCTCTGATATTAATTCCAGGAATTTCCTTCCTGGTCCAGTGAATGCCGGAGGAAAGGCAGGGCACTATCATAGTCCAGGCGGTCCTTCTGTAGCGCTTGCCAGGTCTCTGGGAAGGGACCCCTTCATAGGGCCAGGTCTTGCTTCCCATGCTAGGGGGCACAGCACCCCTCAGGGCTGTGGAGGGAGGGGCACCTGGCTGCTAGGACCCTGGGAGTGGGGTGGTGGAGAGGGAGGTCCCTGAATAGAAAGGGGCTGACTGCTGGGCCGGACCACCTGCCTTTTGCCTTAGTTCAGTGGCTCTCAAAGCCTACAAACCAGACCCAGCATCACCTCCTTAGCAAGGCACATTCTCAGACCCTGCCCCACACCTACCAGACTGACCTGGGGCCCACGACCTAGAAGTCTGTGTTTCCAGAAGCCCCCCAGGTGACTAGGCTGGAGGCTCCTCAACAGACAGTGGCCACAGCCATCGTGAAGATGGTACAGGCTGAGAGAGGTTCCTTCTGCTGCGCGTGGTGTGGGATTCACCTAACCACCAGGTTTATTCTGATCCAGTTTGGGCAAGAATTGGGAACTCAGAGCACGATGCCAATTGAGAGGCTTGTAGAGGACCGTGGATGTGGGAGGACAGAAGGGCAAGCTCCCTCGCTAGCGAGTGGCCATTCCATGTCCGCAGGTGTCAATCGCAGGACTGAATGAGCTGATTTTACAGACTCCCCAGCCCTGATAGAATCAGATGAACCTGCAGGGCTAAGCAGAACTTCCCTGGCTGCTCACAAAGGCAGTGAGGGAAAACCACCGTGGTGAGGGCAGTTGCCTTGAACGTCCTTGGGGCTGCCCACTGGTTTCCTTGACTCCACTTAATGACAAAGCGGGTCCTTGATGGTGCAAAAGGTTAAGCGCGTCTGACTTCAACAGAGACTGGAGCGGGGCGCACACCCCGAACTGCCTTTGAAGGCAGATTTGGCGATCTGTTCCTGAACACTCCAAGAAGCAGACACCCCCACCCCCGGGCCCCATGCTTCTCTGCCACTAAGGACGAGCTGGTTTGAACCTGCAGCCTCGGCCTCGCCTCTCCCCACTATGGAGGACAGGGTTCCTCGCCTCCTGGGGGGCCTGGTCAGGGTAAACGAACTCTATGAGGGCCCAGGAAAAATCGCTTTTGTTTGGCACACTTGTCTTTTTTCCTGGCTCCGGAGAACGGGTTTCCACCGACCTGAGCCAGGTTCCTGCAGAAGGCTCCCCTGCCTTCCTCCTCGCCAGCGCCCCCGCCGTTCGGGTGCATTCGCTCATGGCTTCACCGAAGTTCAGAGACGTTGGACACGCAGGCCAAGGTCACACAGCGGGGGGTGGAGTCCGCTGGGCGCCCGCGCCCGCCCTCTTCCTCCAAGCGGCGGGCTTGGGCTTCTGCACCGGGCACAGTGGCCCTCCGAGGCTCGGGGACCGGCGAGTGACCCCTCTCCTCGCACCTGATCTTCCGTGCTCGAGCCCTGGGCGTCCTCGGGTTCCGAGCCGGGACCCACCCAGCACCTGAAAAAATCCCTCCCCTCCTGGGGGCTCCACCGAGCGTCAGTCCCGCGCAGGCTCCGGAGCGCAGGGCTCTGCCCCGAATGCCCCTCCCCACCTCCCCGGTCCGCCCCCCGGAGCCGTCCCGAACCCGCGGGGCCGCGGGACCAGAGCACGGCCGGCTCAGCATGACGGCAGTCGCCCAGCAGGTAGCTCTGGGGGGCTGGCGGGCCGCCTGGGGTCTGCCCCATATGGGGGCGGGGAGACAGGGTCTGGCCAGGCGTTGGTGAGTCTCTGCCGTGCCCCCCTCTGATGCCAAGCTGCCGGGTCCCTGGCAGTCCTGGGGACACTTGGGGCGGCGTGGTCTACCCCTCCAGGGCTAGCGCATTCTTGGAAGCACCACCCGGACCCCCTTTCCCTAGGAAAGATTGCTCTGCCCCTCTTGGGGGTGAAGTACAGTGGCCTTATTGCTTAGGTTCTTAAGAAACAGGCGCGGCAGGGGGGGCGGGGGGACGATGACAGAAACTGCTTGCAAAGAGAGATTTGCCTTTTGTAACCGGATGTCTCCCTGGGAAGCTAGAACTTTCCAGGGGCTAGGGTGCGAAGACCACCTCTATTCCTCACACCTCGACTAGGGTGTTGCTGGGTATATGGACACCTCCGAGCAAAGACCTGAGAGTTACTAGTCCATGGGGGGTGGGGGTGGGGGTGTCATGGCCCATATCCCCGAAGATTTGGTAGTCTATGGGGAGTGAGGGGTGGGCAGGGTCCAGAGCCCACATCCAGAAGATTTGGTTTCTCTAGAGTGGAGCAAGGTGTTTACTCTGGCCAAGAACCCACACATTCCTGTCTCCTTCCCGCTGCCCCGCTGCTCTTCAAAGGGAAGTCAGTTGGTGGCTGGACCCAGACCCTGCATGTTGGCTTCACTGAAATGCAGGCATCCCACCAGCTTCCCTTCTCTTAGTCCCAATCCTTATAGAAGCCTGTTGGCTTGGCTTGGGAGCCTTCTAACCCCCAGGACACTTAGTGAACCTTGCCATGGCCATTCTGTAGATGGAGGAACTGAGACCCGGAATGAAGGAGGTGGCAAAGGCTGTCAGGCAGGTAGACTGCACAACTGAGATTCAATTCTAGTATTTTAAAACCAGAGAACCCCACCGGCAGGCCACCTCAGGAACACCTTTTAGCCAGGAAGGTGGGTGGGGGTCCCATTCTTGAACCATGAACAGGAAGTCTCCCTCGGCAGGTCTTGGGAGGCAGGGGCTGGAGGGTAGGACCTGGTGGCATCTTTCCTTGAAAGGAGTTCACAGAGGGAGAGAGACTTGTCAACAAGGGCTCCTAAGAGGCATCAGGAAGTGAGTGCTAACGTAAGAGGTGCCAAAGTGGAGGCAAGATTCATTTGGGCAGGGAGGACGAATTGGTGCTGGCAAGAGGCCAAAGGCTGGTAGCAAAGGAAGGAACAGAGTGCTCTGCAGGGGGGGAGCCTTTTCCGTGCCCCAGGAGAAGAGGAGCCCTGGTGGCTGCTAACCAAAGGGCTGTCCCTCCTCCCCCCACCCCAGCTAGCTGCTCAGTAGAACCAAACAATGAGGCTGTCCCATAAAGACATGCCATCTCTGGACCCTTAAGCAGTAGGTCTACTCTGTCCCCAGGGCCCACCATGAGTCAGAATTGGCTTGAAGGTAGTGCCATGATTGTGTGATAATGGTCAAGCCCCCTGCCCTCAGGTGGAGGCTATAGATCTTTACAGGAACAGATAGGCCTGTCTGTCACCTGCATAGCTGCTGATGGGTTGGAACCACCAACCTTTCAGTTAGCAGCCCAGTGCTTGCCCCACAGCACCACCAAGGCTCCTATTAAGCCATTATTTTATCGGAGGCCAGCAACTGTTCTTAGCATTTTACTTGTTACTAACACATTTTCTTTTCTTTTTTAAAGCATTTTATTGGGGGCTCGTACAACTCCTATCACAATCCATCCATCCATTGTGTCAAGCACATGTGCACACATGTTGCCATCATCATTCTCAAACATTTGCTTTCTACTTTAGCCCTTGGTATCAGCTCCTCATTTTTCCCCTCCTTCCCCCCTCCCCCCTCCCCCATGAACCCTTGGTAATTTATAAATTATTATTATTTTGTACTAACACATTTTTATCCACAGGACCCACCGTATGAGATAGGTATGGCTGTTTACCTCCATTATAAAGGGGGGAGAAAGAATGAACGAGGAAGACAATGAGTGAGAATAACTTGCCGGCAGTGGTCCTGGTGCTGAGATCACACCACAAGGGCTGGGCCAGGCAGGGCACCAGGACACAAAGGCAGGTCTGCTCAGTGAAGTGTCTTCAGAGCAATTTCCAGAAATGGTGGCGCGGGCCTGTCCTATCCCTGGCACAGTGGGTGATGAGTAGGGACAAATATGGGAGAAGCATTGAAGGTTGGGGTTGAGGGGAAGGAGCAGGGGGGAAGGTAGCCACTTTGAGGGGCTGCTGGCTGAAGGGAGCCCAGGTAGCAGGTCAGTGGAGGGAGGGGCGATGGCAACATGAACCTGGGGTGCAGGGAGTTAGGAGCAGCTCCAATGTGTTATTGTTACTAATAAATAGCTCACACCAATTGGCGCTGACCATGCACCAAGCATGTTTATATACTCATACGTGATCCTATTGAATCCTTGGAAGTGTTCCGGGTCGATGCAGTGTAAAGGTAGCCCTGGGCTGGGGTGGGAGGAGTTAAGGATAAAATGATATTCAGCAGTCTTTTCCTTCTGAGCCCAATGGCATGTCTGAGGGCCTGCAGGTTAAAGTCTCACCTGTCTCCAGCGCGGGTGGAGCTAAAGAAGAGACCGTGCCGGCTCTCCAGACGGCCTGATTCCGAGGGTGTGGTGGGGTTGTGAGGAGCCCTGGTGGCATAGTTGCTACACAGTGGACTGTGATCCGAAAGGTCGACAGCTCACAGCTGCCAGCCATTCCTTGGGAGAGAAAACAAAGCTTTCTGCTGCAGTCAGGGGCTATCGGCGTGGGACTTCACAGGGGCAGTTCTGTGCTTCCCTGTGGGGTCACTATGCATCACAGTCCACTCAAGGCCAGTGGGTTTGGTGGCTTTGTGAGTTTTGTTCTCTGTATGTGGGACACCCACCCCTACCCCCACCCCCATCCCACTTAGACGGCATTCCTCTCCAGGGTGTTCCAGCTTCCTTCATGGCTACTGCTTTGATTCCAGGGTCACCAATCCCCTTTACAGATGAGACCAGCCCCTAGAACCCGCCCAAGAAAAACCCTGTTCCCGGCAGACTGGACATAGAGGTTTTCAGATGTGGCTTTGGGCTGTGTTTTGGGCAGTAAAGATCCTTTCTTTCCCTGATGAGATGCAGCAGACTCCATGATTCCTGATGTCTCAGTGCTGTAGCTTAGGAGTCTCTGAGTGGTGGTAGCCAATGACTCACGTGCTTGGCTGCAAACTGAAATGTTAGATGTTTGAATCCGCTAAGAGGTGCCTCAGAAGAAAGGTCTGGTGATCGACCTCTGAAAACCCCCGGAACACAGCTCCGTTCTGTCAGACATGGGTTTGCAAGGGGTTGGAGTCAACTCCACGAGCACCGGTGAAAGAATGATCGGAGGAGCCTGCTCCGAGGAAGAGCTATTTAAGTTGAGACATGAAAGTCGGGGCAAAGGAGAGGGTTTCAGGCCGAGAGCACACAAGGAAGCAAAGCACTAGGCTTCTTCCTAGCATGGGAAACGGGATTGTTGAGTTAACTGTGGGGGTACTGAGAGATGAAACTAGAGGAGGCAGCGGCAGGGGGGCCAGGCCATGCTGTGTTTACAGGTGCTAAGAAGGAATGTCATTCTTTGAAATGTTTATGCCTTGGTCTGGGGATGGGGCTTGTCCAACCCATGTGAGATAAGAGACAAGTGGCCACCCAGCCTGGCTTGCCAAGAGCCAGGTCTGGTGGGTGGCCCACTCTGCTGCTGCTGCTGCTGGAACCACTCTGGCTTCCCCACATCTCAGAGCTGATAGAATAGTTTGCGCAGCAAGTTCCTCAGAGGTGGGGCAGTGGCTGAGCCAGACCGAAGGGCAGGGTGCAACCACCAATCAGAACCGAAGAAAAGCAGGAGGAGATCTGGGACTGGTTGGTAAAAGTGCAGAAGCAGGTAGACGGGGGTGAGGATGAATTTGGAAGTGCATCAGGAATATGCTAGCGAGAGAAGGGAGACATCAATCTTGTATTGATAAACTGCTTTCTAAATGCTTCAAACCAAACCCAGACCTACTATGGTCGCGTCGATTGCAACTTACATAGGCTTTCTGGGTCTGTCGATCTCTAAAGGAGCAGGCGGGCTCAGCCTCCTCCCCTAGGTCGGCTGGTGGGTTTGAAGTGATGACAGTGTGGTTAGCATGCCCAATGCTCACTAACAGTGCTCTCTTACCACCCTTCCAGTGCTGCCACGCAGGAAGTCTCTACAGACCAAAAATGTGCGGAAGCCAGCCAGATAGGCTTCTGAAGTCAGAACTAACTGGGGTTTGTTAGCACACTAGGTTTGGGGTTCCTTATCCACTCTAGGAGGGTAGGGGTGGCTGTGTAGTTGAATTCCCTGCAGGTTTAATTCCTGCAACGATGATGCTCAACAGGCTTCAGCAGAACTTCCAGGCTAAGGCAGGTTAGGAAGACAGGCCTGGCAAGTCTACTTCCAAGCATTAGCCATTGAACAAACCTGTGGCTCCCATGGTCTGATCCATAAGCCATCACGGGAATGGTGCAGGACCAGGGGGCTATCATGAGGTCCTGAGCCAGGAGCAGCTATCTAACAGCAACACTGCCCATGATAAAGGTGGTTAAAAACAAGAGTCAGGGAACACTCGTGGCCTGGTGAATAATTATTGCGCAGTAAATGTTTATAGGCCTGCAGTGGAGGACAGGCAGAATGTGGGCGGGGGAGGGGGGAGGGCAGCGAAAGTGGGGAGAGGCCCCAAAGTAGGTGACTCAGAACCATGTCTGGAGGCATGTTGAGAGACAGTGATTGCCACCGGGTTTGAAGGCCACCCTTTTCCCACCCCCACCACCACCCCAGCCCCAGGAGGGGTGTGTCTGATGGCTCCCACCTGTATGTCTTGCAGGCTCAGAGGCTGCTGGCCCGCAGGAGGCCCCGAAGGCCCTTCTTCGAGTGCTTCGTCCGGACCTTGATCATCGTGTGTGCTGCCTTGGCTGTGGTCCTGTCCTCTGTCGCCATCGGTGACGGCCACTGGCTCCGGACCGAGGACCGCCTCTTTGGGCTGTGGCACTTCTGCACCAGTGCCAACCAGAGTGGGCTACAGTGCCTCCGAGACCTGAGCCGGGCCCGTGTGCCCGGGCTGGCTGTGGGCATGAGCCTGGCCCGCAGCACGGGTGCCTTGGCCGTGGTGGTGGCTATCTTCGGCCTGGAACTCCTCATGGTGTCCCAGGTGTGCGAGGACCTCCGCTCACGGCGCAAGTGGGCCCTGGGCTCCGTGCTCCTGCTCTCCGCTTTCCTCCTCTCCTCAGCGGCCCTCCTGACCTTTGTGATCCTCCTCAGGAACCAGGCCACACTCCTTGGCTTCACCCTGACCTTCTGGTGCGAGTTCACGGCCTCCTTCCTCTTCTTCCTGAGCGCCCTCAGCGGCCTTCACGTCAATAACATCACACATCCCTGGGACCGCCAAGGACCCTTCAGGGTCCCCTCTGGGGACCTCGGGTTCTATAAGAAAGCGTGGTCCAAACTGGAACTTTCCTGAGTTGGACCTCTGGTGGGATGAAGCAAGGGGACACTCACCTTGACACGCTTGCCTCTTGGCCTCTCAGCTTTGGGTTCTTGGCCTGAAATGGGCCCAAGCCTTTGCAGCTGGTCTGCGGGGCAGCGGCCAGGCCGGGGCTCAATGCCACCACATGCACAGGCTTAGCCAGCGTATCGGGATGCTGATTTTAGAAGACAAAAAACATCTAAAAATTCTTCCTGAGTCCTTCCCAGCCCTAGAGTCGATTTGGAGGCGGGGAGGGTAAGGGTGCCGAGGCCGGCTGCACAGCCGGCGTATGGACAGTGCTGGTCTGTGGGGCAGGGGCATGCCTAGGGCCGCGGGGCCAACGGGATCACTCTTAGGGTTTAAAGTCTCACCACTGCCTGGGACGTTCTCCCACCAGCACACAGGCTTTGTGGACATTTCCCTTGGCTCCAACGTGGTCCATTCCAGGGAGGCAGATCTCAGGGTCCTCTCTGAATTAGACCAGACTCGGCCCCTGCCCTGTGGAGGGCCCCACAATCCCTGGGTGACCCTGGCTTCAAGTAGCTGCTCCTATGGGAACTGGGTTGGGGTGAATCCTGCCTGAAGGTGGTTTCCCTTTCCCCTGGAAGAATTCTTGAGCAAGGCTCCCCAGGAGAGTGCGCCTGGCTTCTAATACACAGTCCTCCCACCGGCAAGTGTGTGCGTCCGTTTCTTTGCAAGGCTTGCAGTCTCCGCTGCCCTCTTGCTCTGGAAAATGGGTGCTTTTCAAGTGAGGGGATGTTACTCTGCGGACCCAGAGCTTCCACAGTGGTCAAGGGGGAATGGCCAGGCTCCGGGCAATGATGAACCACCTGCCTGCGGCTGTGCGCAGTGAAGGCTCTGGGGGCAGTGGGGATCTCCATCTTCGCCTGCCGTCCTGCACGTTTGTCCATCTGCTTGTCTTCTGCGGAGTCCCTTTTCTGCCACAGCAGTGGGGCTTTGTCCTCCCAATGTCATTCTGCTCTATCCCATCCTCGACAGTCTTGAGTTCTGGCTTCAGGGACCTAGCTGCTTCTAGTATGTACCCTCGCCTTGTGGAGGGCAGGGCCCCCCTGGGCCGGCTGAGTCCAGTGCCGACTACCTCCATTGCCCAAACCAAACTCACTGTCCTTGAGTCAATTCTGATTCATAGCGACCCTTAAGGTGGGGTAGAACGGCCCCGTTGGGTTTCCAAGGCTGTAAATCTCCACCAGAGCAGACAGCCTCGTCTTTCTCCAACAGAGCAGCTGGTGGGTTTGAACGGCTGCCCTTTCAGTGAGTAGTCCACTAGACCACCAGGGCGCCTCTAACCTATCTCCATAGTGATTTTTAACACTTTTCCTCCAAAATACACTGGATCCCTTGAGATCACTGGAGAGGTGGCTGGACTAATTGGTCTTACAAGTAAGCGTCTTGGTCCGGGAAATGGGAATCTGGACTGGCCCTCATCCCCGGTGGGAGTGAGTAGCAGATCTGAGGAGCCAAAGCCCCGCATGCACCCAAAGCCACCCCCACCCACCCCACCAGCAAGATGCTGTGTCCTCACACTGTGTGCTTCATAGTGCTTTTGTCTGAGCTCCAGTAGGCACCAAAGGCTAAGACACTCAGCTACTAAGAGAAAGGTCAGTGGTTTGAACCCACCAGAGGTGCTTAAGAAGAAAGGCCTACCGATCTACTTCTGAGCAAGCCAACTCACCACTGACTGCATTCTGACCCAGAGAGACCCTGCAGGACAGAGTAGAACCTCCCCCGATGTAGCCATGTTGACACACAGGGTTCCCATGACTTGTTGACAACTGGTTTGTGTTTTTCATGTTTATTAGTTTCAGTTTGGAGTACTAGTAGGTTTTGTTTTGTTTTTTAAAGCAGGGGGTGGGGGATATTTGGTCTTTCTAAATTGGCATTGTTGGGGAACTGGAAGGGAATGTGGTGCTGATATCCAAGAGGAGTCAAGCCTGAGCCTTATATCCTGGGCGGCCCAGGAGTTTAGAGGGACAAGGGAAACGGCCACTCCCCTTCAGTGCCTGGGAGCAGGCCCAGGGAAAGCCCGACACAGCGTCCTGGGAGCCTGGGATTTGAAATTAAAAGGCCCTGGGCTGATCTGCCTCCTAGCTAAGTCACAGGACCCAGGGGCATTTGTTTGCCATCAACACAACAGGACCAGGCCCGTTTCCTGCAGTAGCTGCCCCCTGGAAAAAGTAACAGTATGGCCAAGCTTCAGGCCTCATTAAAACCAAGCCCCTGGCATCAAGCTGATTCAGACTTACGGGTTTCCATGACTACAGATCTTTAAGGGGGCAGACAGCCTCATCTTTCTCCCCCAGACCTGCTGGTGGGTTTGAACTGCCGACCTCGAAATTAGCAGCCCAACGCCTAAATCTTTTAGGCCTCGTTAGGATTCCTAAAAGGGATGTAGGCCCCAGGGCTCTCCAGCCTCTCTTGTGATTGTCGGATGGAAGGTTCGTGAGATAACTGCTGGAGAGGTGGGCTGCAGACGGGTGGGAAGAGGATGCTGCTCGAGAGGTGAGCTGCAGAGAGGCCCACCTAGGCCCAAAGCTCCTTGATTTCTCATGGTCCCTGGGCATCAGAGCTTGTCCCTGGAAGTGGAGGAGCTGAAGGACCAGGATGTCTTCAGCAGGAAAGACAGAGGAATGAGCCACAGCACCCAGGTCAAACAGACTGACGGACATGGTCAGCTCTCCCCTGGGCCAGCCTTGATGTCCCTCTTCCACCACCCTCCTCCTTCTGGCCTCTGGCCTGCGTCTCTCAGATGATACTGGTCCTGCAGGTGCTCAGGCTCTGCTCAGAGGGGCTGGCCGTGGTGCCAGGGGTGAAGCCACCGGTGCCATTGCTGTAGGAGGAGCTGAGCATCGGGCGCAGGGGGAGCTCACGGGGGTGCCACTGCCGCCACTTCTTCTGGACCTCCAGCTGCACCTGTCCCAAGAGACCAGCTGTCAGCCCAGAAGGGAAGGGCCACCTATACCGGAGCCTCCCTCTCTCCCACTAGGAGCCTCTGCACAGGCGCCCCCCCCCCACCCCCCCCCAGGCTACACAGTAACCTTTTCCAGTACCAATATCCAGTAGGTACTGAGGGCTGGGAGCCCCCGGTGGTACAAATGGTTAATACGTTCAGCTGCTGACTGAGAAGCTGGAGGTTTAGGACCCCCCAGGGTGCCAGAGATGAGAGGACTAGTGATCCACGGAAAAGTTAACCATTGAAACCTTGCAGCACAATTCTACTCTGAGCCGAGTCATGGGCTGCCCTAAGTCAGTGCCAACTGGCCAGCTGCTGGTGGGGTGGTTTGGAATTACTGAGGGCCGGTGACCCTGAGCGCATCCTGGCAAAAGCTCATTTCATAAGGTCCTGAAGAAGGGAGTTCTACCCTGCCTTATAAACGGCAGAACCCCGATCATCTGGGACCATTGATTCCCGTGAACTCAATCTAGCACACAATGTATGGGGGAGCCCTTTGGAAATTTCCTTCAAAATCTCCAGCTGAGCCAATGAATCTGGAGCCGTGGAGGCGAGGAAAACTCCAGAGGTTCTTTCCACTCAAGTGTGGTGAACTAGACGGGTCAACAGGCACAGGACCGGCTCGTGTGCACTACCGTCTTCCACTCGTGTGAACTGCATAGTGTCTGTGTGCCAGGGACCGTGTGTCCTGACCCAGATGCTCCGATAAGGATTGAGTCCTCTAAAGAAGTGTGGAGCCACAGTGCGGGCATGTCATCTGGATTCCTCACTTTGCCCCTGGGAATGTTGAGGCCTGTCCACGGGGCATGCTGCAGAGCCTAGCATCTGGCTGAGGTGCCCGCACTTCCAGAACGTGTCCACCAATGACCCAGAGTGTGTGTTAAAATCCACTCTCAGGCCCCAACCCAGACCTGCCAAGGTTTTGCTCAGTCTGTAATGGACGAGAGCCCGCACACACAAATCACACCTGAATTGATCAACAGGACTCTTTCACAGGGGTTTCTTTCTCTGCAGAATCAGAGGGTTAGACCTACTCTTTGTGGGACCAGTGAGTAGCTTCGAACCACCAAACTTTGAGTTAGCAATTGAGCACGAATCATTTATCCCCTCCAGGGCTCCACAGTCTGTTTATAAAAACCTTTGGGTGATGCTGCTTGATGTGTTCATGAGCACACACGTGTACAGGACTGAGACTGATGGCCAGTCCCATGGTTTCAACCCCATCGTCCCCTCTTTCCAGGTAACTCCTTCCCAACTGGGGTCGGGTGAGTAAGGAGTTCTCCCAGGCATCGAACAGACGTCGGACACTCACCTCCCCGTTGAGGAAGCAGTAGAGGACGGCCACCACCAGGCCCTGTGGATGGAGCAGAGGCTCAGAGGGTTAGGGTACATGTTCAGGCTAGCCTTGGCAGCCCCCCTCCCTGACCCCCACCCAAATCCTTCCACCAACAAGTCTCCTGCCTTTGTCCCATTAATGTTCTCATCTCAGGCCCTCACACCTTCCCAACCCACACCAGTGCCCTGGCTGTGCCAAACTCTGAGACTGGGAGTCCTTTGGGGGCAAAGTCCTTTTCAACTGCGGTGGGTGAGTCTCACACGTGGTTGGTATTCAGAACATCCAGGCAGGGGGCCCCTGAGGCAGCCAAGTCACACAGCGGAGTAAGGCACCTGTGTGCACCAGGGACCTGCAGGCTGAGGCCGCACCTTCTAGAAGGGGTGGGCTAACCACATTCCGTTGAGCTGTTTAAATACAGGAGACTCATTTAAATTGATTTTCAACGTAAAGGCCCATCAGTAACAGGCTTGATCCTCACGCTTGATGGACAAGTGACAGCTCTCATGAGTTAGGGGACACCTCCAACCACCGAAGCTTCATGGCCCTGACCTTTTGAGGGGCTCTGAACGGTGGAAACAGCTAACGTGCTCTGCTGCTGCTGAAAAGGTCGGCAGTTCCAGACCACCCAGAAGTACTTCTGGAAAATCAGCCATTGGAAACCAGAGTGCAGTTTTCCTTCGACGCACACGAGGTCACCATGAGGCAATGCTGACCTAGCACTGGTGGACAGACAGGGTGAATGGAAAGGCAGGCTTTGAAAGAAAGCAGATCTGGATTTGTTGCACAATTTAGGCCCCGAATAACTGTGGGATTCTGGGTACCAGGTGCGTATCTAGCCTCACCTAAGTTCTAGGGGGTTGGTGGTAAGGGAGGGTTGGAGAAAATAAGGCCAGACTGGAGGTGCTGTGAGGCTGCTGTAAGGCTGCTGCCCCCTCTCCTAGGACCAAGACATGCCTGGGCCCCCTTGTCCTGGGACCCAGCGGCACATTTTCACTGAATTCCAGGACAAGCAGGTGAAGGAAAAAGTTAGCTTTTCCCCAAGGTACAGAGAGCAGGGCTCACACAGGTCAGCAAGTCTGATAAATTCCACAGTTGCCAATGCACAGCCATTGAAAGTGACACTTTCTTTGTTTTTTTCCAGATAGATAGTCTGGATTTTTGAATTATCTTTTTTTTAATCATTTTATTAGGGGCTCATACATCTCTTATCACAATCCATACATACATCAATTGTGGAAAGCACATTTGTACATTCATTGCCCTCATCATTCTCAAAACATTTGCTCTCCACTTAAGCCCCTGGCATCAGCTCCTCATTTTTGCCCCTCCCTCATGAACCCTTGATAATTTATAAATTATTATTTTGTTATATCTTGCCCTGTGCGACGTCTCCCTTCACCCACTTTTCTGTTGTCCGTCCCCCAGGGAGGAGGTCACATGTAGATCCTAATAATTGGTTCCCCTTTTCCAACCCACCCTCCCTCCACCCTCCTAGTATCGCCACTCACACCACTGGTCCTGAAGGGATCATCTGTCCAGGATTCCCTGTGTTTCTGGTTCCTATCTGTACCAGTGTACATCCTCTGGTCTAGCCAGACTTGCAAGGTAGAATTGGGATCATGATAGTGGCAGAGAGGGGAGGAAGCATTTAGGAACTAGAGGAAAGTTGTATTTTTCATCCTTGCTACATCGCACCCTGACTGGCTCGTATCCTCCCGGAGACCCTTCAGTAAAGGGATGTCCAGTGGCCTACAAATGGGCTTTGGGTCTTCACCCACACTCCCCCTTCTCATTCACTATTATAATATTTTTTGTTCTGATGATGCCTTATACCTGATCCCTTCGACACCTCATGATCGCACAGGCTGGTGTGCTTCCTCCATGTGGGCTTTGTTGCTTCTGAGCTAGATGGCCACTTGTTTACCTTCAAGCCTTTAAGACCCCAGACGCTATATCTTTTGAGAGCCGGGCACCATCAGCTTTCTTCACCACATTTGCTTATTCACCTTCTTTGTCTTCAGCGGTTGTGTCGGGAAGGTGAGCATCATAGAATGCCAATTTAATAGAAGAAAGTATTCTTGCATTGAGGGACTACTTGAGGGGAGGCCCAATGTCCTTCTGCTACCTAAATACTAAAACTATAAATATAGGCACATAGATCTATTTCCCCAGCCTCATATATAAATATCTTTGCATTTATACGTGCCTTTATCTAGACCTCTATAAGTTCCCTTTGCCTCCCAGCTCTTTCCTTTATTTCCTTTTACTTTCCTCCTGTCCCACTATCATGTTCATTCCTCACCTGGGTTTCAGCAATTCCTCTTGGTTACATTACCCTTGATCATGACCTACCAGGCCTCCCACACTCTCATCACCACCAATTTAGGACACTTGTTGTTCCCTTGTCCCTGGGTTTGTTAACACCACTACCTTTCCCCCAACCCCCCCTTCTCCCATGTCCCCCCGGAACTGTTGGTCCCATTGTTTTCTCCTCCAGATTGTTCATCCAGCCTATCTTATTTAGACAAACCTGTGGAGATAATAACATGCACAAAAACAAGACAGAGCAAAACCAAGCAACAATATACAACAAAACAACAACAACAAACCAATGACAAAATAACAAAACAAAACACAAAAAGCTTGTAGTTAGTTCAAGGATTGTTTGTTGGTCTTTAGGAATATTTTCCAGTCCAATCTGTTGGGGCACCATGCGCTGGCCCCAAAGTCCACCTTCAGCATTCCCTGGGGACCTTGCCGCTCTGTTCCCTTGCTGTTCTGTTGCACCCTGAGTTAGTTAATTGTGCCAACCTGGCCGATAATCACATGTGGGGCTGATTGAAAGGCAGAGGGATAAATGGGTGGTGAGCCTCGCCTTTCTAGTTCCTGGGTCTCTTGCTTTATGATGGTCGCACCAGGGTGCAGCTGCCTTAGCAGTTCCCTGCTTCAGCTTGCAAGATTGACATCCTATAAGACATCCCCAAGGAGAAGCCACATGGACCTATCCCTATGCAGCCCTGGGTGCTGGAGCAGCCATGTGGAGACCCCTGCTAGTGCTAAGATGCTTGTTCATTCACTGACTGAGCTTTCCTCCTGCAGTCGGCATCATTGCCTCTGTTTTGTGAGGTGGAGGACTTTGTGAACTAGTGTTGGGTGAATGGGTTAATGTTGGACTTGTGGGCTTGGGCAGCATTGGGTTGGGATGTTTTCATGATGCACACTTTCTTTACATAAAACTCTCTTATCCATGAGTTGCTGTGGATTTGTTTCTCTAAAGTACCTAGACTAATACACACCCCCTTAGTGTTTTGCCTCAGTGTGGCGGGATCAGATCGGGTGTAATTCCCAGACTGTGCCTCTGGTGTTGTCCCCTGTAGGGCTATGGGTCAGTGAGGGGCATCAGGTCTCCTAGTGGGGCCAGCCATGTGGTCCTCTCTGTGGACTGGCTGCTCTAATTGGGAACATCGTCCTCACGGCCTGGTGGGGAAAGTGATACTTTCATAGCATTGAATGATACAGGGAAAATGCTCATGGTGCTATGTTAAAGAAGTAAACAGAACAAATAGGATACAAAATATATGCCCCAGAACCCCAACGGCATATGTTCAAGTGTCTTCATGAATAAAAAAGAAGCTGTGATATTTATGAAAACCAACGGCCTTATCTTCCTTCTAAGGTGTGACTGGTGGGTTAGAACTGCAAACCTTCTCATTAGCCTCTGAGAGCTAAACTACTGCACTGCCAGGGCTCCTTAGAGCAATAGCTATGAGGGGCCGGCCCCAATCCCAACTATGTGGACACCTGCCCCTCCCCCCAGAAGAGTTCACTTCAGAGGACACACTGAAGCTGCAGCTCAGGGAGAGGGACGTGTCTGATCAGAGGACACAGGAGCAAATGAAGCGGGAGGAAGAGAGAGTGGAGCACATCCTGGCCCACCAAGCCTTGAGGACGATATCCCTGCTCAGAGCAGCCAAACCCAAGAGAGGATCATAGGGCCAGCCCCACCATGAGACACAATGAGGCGCAACTATCTAAAATTAGAAAATCAAGTGGTGAAGTTCATTTACCTTGCAGAGATTAGAATGATCCTCAGAGTGTACAATAGACAAATGTACCCCAGCCAATTAGATGGTCAATTTATAACAATGAAAATACATCCTGCATATGAGCTATTTACATGACGATTCATAACAGTAGCAAAATTATGGTTATGAAGTAGCAAGGAAAATAATGTTATGGTTGGTGGTCACCACACCATGAGGAACTGTGTGAAAGGGTCGCGGCATGAGGAAGGTTGAGAACCACTGCTCTGGAGGCTGCATCGGTGAGTCCCCATGTGGGAACTCCACTGGGTGAACGGAACTCGATTTAGACACACTTGGAACCTGAGGAATTAAGTCAGGAAACACCCATGTCTGAGTGCAGAAGGGAGCTGCCCAAAGAGCGGTGGGCAAGCAAGTTCTTGCTACATCAACACCCTGTGTGTTGTGTGAAGATACATGTTATTCCGTCAATCTTGTGACAGGCATTCTGTTTTATTTTGCTTGTTCATATTAAGGTGTATCTCAGAGGTGCGTTGCCATGGGGGTCACCCTCTTGAAGTGGTGGTGTTTTTCTGTTTTGGGATAAATGGGATGCTGAGCCTATAGGAAAAGCAAATAGAACAAGGGTTTGGGGGGGTGAATAAAAGGGAGACGATGTCAAGGAGTCCATGTAGAAAAAGAATGTTTGGACACTGTGGTAGCAATTGTACAATTCTACTTGACGTGGATGAAATTTGGAAAGATGTGATATATGTATTAAATCCTAACTTAAAAAACAAAACAAAAACAAAAACGACGTACAGCCTCCGAAACTGTAAGAAGCAGTTCTGTCCTCCTGTGGTCAGGGTGCGTCAGAATCGGCTTGATTGCATTGATTGCCCTTGATCGCACCCATCTGTCTGTCTGTTGTCCGGTGGCGATGATGTACACGTGGCTCTGGTGCTGGACGCTAGGGCAATGGCATGTCAAATACCAGCAGGGGGTCCACTCATGGTGGTCCGTTTTCAACAGAGCGTTTAGACTAGGAAGAAAGGCCTGGCAATCTACTTTTCAAACTTCGTCGATGAAAACCCTCTGGGTCACAACGGATGACTATCGGAAGATGAGTTTCCTCGGTGGGAAGTGGCTCTAACAATGGACTTGGGCACACTAAGGTGGAAAAGATGGGGCACGGGGTGTTATGTTCTGCTGTGCAGACTGGACCACAACCAGCAATGGCAGCAAAGTGGGCGCCTAAGGCCAACATGATGACCTGCGCCAGGCTGCTATTACTGTTTCTTTGACTCGGCCTTCACAAACCTCCTGAGGCTGCCTCCGGAAGACGTGGCACGCTGTCTCTGTGCACCGACTCGCATGTAAAGAAAGACAACGGCTCTCTGTGGTCCTCAGAGTTTACCTGGAATGAGCCAAGGGCCAATTCAAAAAACAGCTTGATCTCCATGGCATCCTCTGGGGAGAAGACGAAGATGATGTAGTGGATGCCGAAGAGAGGGATCAGCAGCAAAGTGGACTTAGCCAGTCGCCTGGGGACAGAAAACCATTGGTCTTTTACTTTGAGAGAGCCCAGTTATCTCCTGGCCCACTCCCATCTCTGTGGACCCCACCATGAGTCAGATTGTGTGGGATTTTGCAGCAGTGACCACAATATGTTTTAAAAAAACATTTTGTTTTGGAAAATTCTCAACCCTCACATGCCCATTACCCAGATGCAATAGCTATCAAATCATGGCCAATCCTCAAACTTTCTGATCTTACCCATGTGAAACAATTTGAACATGTACCTACTTAGATAACTAGATATAAATTATATGCCGGTCACACTTCCACTCGAACATATACTTAACAAAACCAGCGTTCTTGTTTTTGTGTGTGTATGCTTATATGTTTGTTTATATGCATATATGCAGATATATGTATATATATCCATATAGACACACACACACACACACATACAGAGAGCGAGAGTGAAAGTGGAGGGAGAGCGATCTTTCATTTTCCACCCAGATTAAAATTCCCGAAATCAAACCACTGAGTCAAGTCTGAGTCTGGCCCTTAGACAGAGTAGAACTGCCTCGGTTTCTGAAACTACACTTGATGGCATAAGAGCCTCCTCTTTTTCCTGTGGAGCAGCTGGTGGATTCGAACTGCCGGCTTTGCAGTTATCAGCCCACCATGTAGCACAGGACACCACCAGGGCTCCTCTTCCCCGATTAGGGTTGTACATCTAGCAAATGAAAATACAGAGTGCCCAGTTAAATTGATTTCAGATTGCACCCTCGTTTTTCTCTGGCAGCTTTCCCCCACATCCCAAGCCCTCCTGGACTTTGGAGGCGACTGGCCTGGAGAACCTGCCACTGGCATGGTCCCCACGTTCAAACCTCAAAGTACAGAGAACACCTCGGGCTGGCACTCATTTGTCTTTAACATCTATCTTTCCCACCTTTAAAGTTTTAATGTACTTCTTATTTTGAAAATCTGATGGAATCCAAGGTCATTCCCCCATGAAAAAAAACCAACAATAACTATGAATCTACACAATTTTGCATGCAATTTTAGAAGGGTTGTAACTCAGATTCCCCAGTCTTGCCACAAAAGTAAGAATTTCTGCTTCCTGCCTGCTCTATATCCTGAGATTTAAATCCTGGCTGCAGGCTGGTGTGTAAGGTTTTCTGTTGGTGCCCATGGTCCCCTGCAGCTAGATTCCTTTTCCAATAGTGCCTAGCACAAACTAGGTATACAGTAGGGCCTTAGTAAATGCCTCTGGGTGACTGGGTGGGTGTTCACACTTACTTGTAATGCTGTACTTCGGTTCCTCTTGTTTCCTGGGTTCTAAGTTTTTTCATCAGGATTCTTAGAATGTTTATGAAAAGAATGAAATTAATCTAAAAAACACAAAAGCAGAAGTGGAGCTGAAGAAGGTGTTTTTGCTCTCCTGGCCCTGTGCCCCTGTACTGAGCGCAGGAACAACATCACACCAGGGTAGTTGTCACTGCTGCCCCCTCCCCTGCCCCACAAGAGCCTTGCAGAAGCAAACTGATGAAGGGCAGCCTAGAAGCCATGGCTTGAAGCAGAGCCTCCCACCACTGCACTGCAAAACTATAGTCCGCTCATCGCAGCCCAGGTTGTCTGTTGTTATATGCGCCCCTCTCACGTGGTCTCACTGCCTAAATTGTGGAAGTAGACCACCAGGCCTGTCTTCCCAGCCTGTTTTATTCTGAAAGGTACTCTGAAATCTGTTTGGCATCATAGCAACACAAAAGCTTCCACTGGCAGTTGGCTCATGGCTGTGTTTAACCAGCGGACATCAGGAATTAGAAGCCGTCTGGCTGCGTCTCACCCTTTAATGTACATTCGAAAACGCTGGGAATCTTGTCAAAAACTGGCCCCTGGACTACATTTTGAGTAGTGTTGGGATTTGGACTGTGCCTCTCCTGCCTGCCAAGAAACATGTCCGGAGCCCTAACCCAGTGTCTGTAAATGTGACCTTATTTGGGTAGATTCAAACCATCAACTTTTTGGTCAGCTGTTAGGTGCCTGCTCTGACCCATAGCGACCCTATGCACAACAGAATGAAACGCTGCCATCCCCCCAATTGTTCCTGTGCCTGAGCCCATTGATCGCAGCCACTGTGTCAATCCATCTCATGGGGGGCTTCCTCCTCTTTGCTGTCTCTGCACATTACCAAACATGATGTCCTTTTCCAGGGACTGGTCTCTCCTGACAACGTGTCTGAAGTATATAAGACAAGGCTTCCCATCCTGGCCTCTAAGGAGCACTCTGGCTTTGTTTCTTCCAATACAGGTGGGTTTGTCCCGTTAGCAGTCCCTAGTACTTTCAATCTTCTCCTCCAGCACCCCAATTCAAGTGCATCAATTCTTCCGCAGTCTTCCTTATTCAAGGCCAACTTCTACATGCACGTGACGCAGTGGAGAAGGCCATGACCTGGGTCAGACGCACCTTAGTCCTCAAAGTAACATCCTTGCTCTTCAATCCTCTCAAAAGGTCTTGTGCTGCAGATTTACCGGATGCAATACATTTGTTAATCCCTTGACTGCTCCTTCCAAGATAAATGAGTGTGGAGCTGAGCAAAATGAACTCTTGACAACTTCAGTCTTTTTTCCATTTATCATGATGATGCCTTCTGGGCCACTTGTGAGGAGCTGGGTCTTCCTTACAGAGAGCTGTCATCCACACTGAAGGCTACAATCCCTGATCTTCCTCAGCAAGGGCTTCAATTCCTCTCACTTTCAGCAAGCAAGGTGGTGTCATCTGCATGCAACAGGTCGTTCATGTCTTCTTCTAATCCATAGGCCACTCTCTGCTTCATCGAATCCACCTTCTCTGATGATTTGCTCAGCAAAGAGACTGAAAAAGTGTGGTGAGAGGATGTAACCCTGATGCACACCTTTCCTGCTTTTAAGCCAGGCAGTATTCCTTTGTTCTGTGTGTACAACTGCCTCGATCCATGTACAGATTCTGAAGGAGCACCATGAAGGGTTCCCAGTTGCCATTCCTCTCAGGGAGATCCAGTCTATTATGGTCCACACCTCTGCAGAGTCGATGGACCACAAGTAACCATCTCTCTGGTGTTCTCTGCTTTGAGCCAAGACCCATCTGACATCAGCAACGATCTCCCTTGTTCCACATCCTCTTCTGAATCTGGCCTGTAGCTGGCGGCTTAGTCATTTGCCCCGAGCAATGACTTCTAAGACAGGAATGGGGTATCTGGCTTCTTTCGGTGGTCCACCCCCAGGCTCACCTCCTGATTCAGGGACCAGGAGGAAGTTGCCCAGTGGTCAGCGCCTCTCCTCTCCTTCATCATTTGACAGGATCAAAGGACTCACCGAGCCCACAGCCTGGTGGTTCGCATGAGTGGCTGAGCGAGGCCTGGGAATGGTTGCCAAAAGATGCTTGGATTAGCAACCTGTCTACAACTCCCAGACCAGTACTTCTTCAGCGACGCTGCCTTTCACCTGTTGTCTATCCATCTTATGCTAAGCTCATTAAAACTCTCCACGGCACTTGTAAATAAGGACTCTTGACATGTTATTTCATTTTGCTTTTTGCCTTCAAACTCAAAAACACACTACGATGAGGTAAAATCTGACTCACGGGAGACCCTGTGGGGCAGGGTAGAAGTGCCCCTTTGGGTTTCCAAGCCTTCAAGAGATAAAATTCTTTAAGAGCTAGAAAGTCTTATCTTTCTCCCTCAGAGCTGCTCATGGTTTCAAACTGGTTGCCTTCCAGTCAGCAGCCCAACACATAACTCCTGTACCACCATAAGGAGCAGGGAGAGGAAGGGGAGGGTGGAAAGGAAACAGGAGAAGGAGAGGGAGGGAAGAGGCAGGGGAAGACAAGGAGGGGGAGGAGGAGGAGAAGAAGAATTCTTAAATCATGGGATCCTAGGCCCCATTACAGGCTGGTAGGGAGAAAGTTTGGCTCAACACCCTTGTCACTAGGAGACCACCGTCCCTGTCCAAGACTGAATCCCAGCAGGGGGACTGGGTCCACTCAATGAGGGGCATCTCTCCCACACAGGAGTACTGTGCAGCCATAGCAAATATGTTTCTCAAAGAATTTCAGATGACATGGACTGGTTCATACCTATTGCTGAGTAAAAAAAATTAAGTAGGGAATGAAACTAAAGTGTTGTTTTTTTGAAAAAAGAACAGCATCAGTGTTCAAAAACATGAAGGAAAATCACATATGTTCACAATGTGTATGTGTACATATGCATACATACACACACACACATATATATATATATACATACATACCTATATACGCACACATATATATGCAGTGGAACTATCAGTGATGTTATTCTTTTAGAAAGGTCCATGTTTATATTTTCATTTTTTATAGTGAGCTCTATTATTTTTTTAAAAGAACAAAATGGCCCCTCCTTCCCACCTGCCCCATGAGGTACATTGAGAGCCAGGGGGAGAGGAGAGGTCAGCAGACCTTCCCCATGCAAGGGCAGGGCTGACAGGGTGGGGACAGGTCTAAGTGTGCCCGGGGTACAGCACCCACTGCCCACCTTCAATTGACCTGTCGAGGACACAGACAATGGAATTCTGTAGCCCAGGGTGCCTCCCTTCTAGGCTGATGGGGGCTAATTCCAACTGAGGGGATGAGTCTGTCCACAAATTGGCCCTCCTCTGTCCTCCTCTTCCCTTTTTTAACGTTTAACATGTTTTATTATGGTAAATGCATATAACAGCGTATTGGCCCTTTCAACCATTTTGACTTGAACAGTTAATATTACTTATGCTCAGAGCTCTGGGCGACTGTCAGCACCATCCATTTCTAAATTTGGGCATTGACCTTCTCAGAAACTCAGGGCTCGGTAAGCGGTCATGGAGCCCACCAGCCGCTGGCAACCACTCATCAACTTGGGTCTCTTCGTGAATTTGCCTATCCTAGACCCACAGGCTTAGCCGCAGAGCTCTGGAACCTGTCGGCAGGGGAGAATCACCTGGGGAACTTAAAACAAAGACAGGACCCAAGGCCCAGTCGCAGAACATGAGAGACAGGAATCTCCAAGTACTAGTGTTTTTAGAAAGCTTCCAGATGATTCTCAAAGTTAAGAGCCCCTACCTACGGCTTACAGAAGAGCAGAGCACCCCTCCTGCCAGTACTCTTTGTTTTTTAATGTTTTAATCGTTTTATTAGGTGCTCATACGACTCTTATCACAATCCATACATACATCCATTGTGTAAAGCACATTTGTACATTCCTTGCCCTCGTCATTCTCAAAACATTTGCTCTCCGCTTAAGCCCCCAGCATCAGGTCCTCATTTTTTCCCCTCCCTCCCCGCTCTCCCCTCCCTCATGAGCCCTTGACAATTTATAAATTGTTTATTTTGTCATATCCTGCCCTGTCTGACGTCTCCCTTCACCCTCTTTTCTGTTGTCCGTCCCCCAGGGAGGAGGTCACATATAGAACCTTGTAATCGGTTCCCTCTTTCCAACCCACTCTCCCTCTACCCTCCCAGTATCGCCACTCACACCACTGGTCCTGAAGGGATCATCCGCCCTGGATTCCCTGGGTTTCCAGTTCCTATCTGTACCAGTGTACATCCTCTGGTCTAGCCAGACTTGCAAGGAGAATTGGGATCATGATAGTGGGGGGTGGGGCAGGGGCAGGGTAGGAAGCATTAAAGAACTAGAGGAAAGTTGTATTTTTCATCGTTGCTACATCGCACCCTGTCTGGCTCGTCTCCTCCCCAAGACCCCTCTGCAAGGGGATCTCCAGTCCTGCCAGTATTCTTTAGGGTGGATCTTCCAGAGACTCCCCTCCCTGCTGTACATGGGAAGGCTCTAGAACAGCGGTTCTCAACCTTCCTAATGCCGCGACCCTTTAAAACAGTTCCTTATGGTGTGGTGATCCCCCAACCATAAAATTATTTTTATTGCTACTTCATCACTGTCATTTTGCTACTGTTAGGAATCGGGCGACCCCTGTGAAAGGGTCTTTCAACCCCCCAAAGGGATCGCGACCCACAGGTTGAGAACCGCTGCTCTATAACCTATCCATCCCAGCACCCACAGGAGGACTGCTAGGCCCATCTTTTGGCCCCTGCCCCAAGGGTCAAGTCACTGCTTGGTGGCTTCTGGAGCCCAGACCAGGGGGCAGACAGCACTCACCAGGATGGACAGGATCACAGGCCCTCGGATGACCCACCAGACAGGTTCATTGGCATTGATATCCCAGCACCTACGGGAGGGAGTGTCAGGGACAGTCAGGAATCAGGAAGTGGTGAGTCCTTCAGACGAAGGACCATCATGTGCCGCCTGAGGCCTGGGGGAGAGGAGGTGCCCAGCTATACCATAGCCTGTCCTTCTGGTGCCATCCAGAGGGCTGCTACAAGCTCCCAGCTCTCCCCTTTCAGGCCCCAGCAAGGACCTGGAGGGCAGAGTGTGTGTGGAACCTGAGAGCTAAAAGACCCTGTAATTAATTCACTGGCAGCTCAGGCCTGACAAAGGGCAGTGGGGAGTGACTTGGCTGGTGACTGACAGGGGCTGTCAGGACCCAGGAACATCCGTGGGGGTGCTTGGCAAACTGGAAAGCATGGGTCTGATCCAAGGCAACTTCAACTCTACCCCAACTGGGTTTGCTACCAGAAGAAATGAGAAAGGTTGATAGAACATTCCAATTTTTCCCTAGAGAACCAGAAACATCTAGGTGATATTTTTGTTGTTGTTGTTGTTTATGTTTAAGAAATCATCCGTTGAAAAAGAATTGTAGCAAAGCAAGTTGGTGGGCTGAATTTGCATTGGCAGACACTTGCATGCCTCATCCAATCTCTCTCTTGGTTGTGTCCTGATCCAGAGGAGAGACTGATCCCCATCCTCTTGTCTCACTTCTTCCCTGACGCCTTTCAATCTTCCTGTGTGTGTCTACTCCCAGCTGGGCCTCCCTGGGCTCACCTCCACCCTGAACGCCGCCCAGCCTCCTTTACCGAACAACACCGAGATCCCTGGTTTGTCCCCACGTCTGCCACCCCGAGAGCTGTTCGGAATGCTTCTGCTGTGCTCCCTGCCTGGCAGGCACAACCGAAGCAGGGAGGGAGACGCTGTGGACGGAGATTCCCGGAGGCAGGCAAGGCGACGGGGGCCCCTTCCAGAATGTCCTGCACTGAGCAACATCTCCCTGGCATGCAACCTCACCCTGCCAGGCTGGGCCAGGAGAAAGGAGGCCTGGCAGGGTGCTGGCCTGGAGAAGGTATCCCAACACATCTGGAAGCTCTCGGGGTGCCACCCCTGAGGAGTGCTGGGCGATCGGAAGCGTGCCACACTGGAGAAGTGTGTCATGGGCCCCCACGTGAGAAACAGGCTTTCTTTGGAAAATCCCAGAGAAAGATCGCTCCGGTTGGAAGAGCTGGACCATCTCAAAATACCTCTTCTTCCTCAACTTACCCATCATCTTCCAGAAAGTACCTGGCGACAGCCCACAAAGTGACAAGGATGGCTGGGGAACCTGAGGATAAAAATGAGGGAGGGGGCAGAGTAACGCACACACGAGGATCCGTTATCCCCCAGAGCAGCTACTGACCAGCTACTAAGGTTTGCTTTCCATGGGAATCCTCTTTTTACCCTGTGTAAATGGAATGCCACATTCCTCAAGGGCACCTTGGCTAGCTGGGGAAATGAAGACCACGTGAGGCTAGGGATCTGGACATCTGGGCCAGTGTCCAGTGGACCCCTGGGCAGGCTTCCGGAGCCTATGGAGCCAGGTAGGGGTCAAGTCCCTTCTCTAACTGGAATATGCCCAGCAATGGATAGGGGGTTGGTGGCACAAAGCCAGTTGAGAAACATTGATTTTATTCATATGTGACTTGAAAAATGCTTGGCCATTACATGATCACTGTTACATGTGAACAAAATAGAGACTGGAGAATGAAATGTACACAGGAACTTTGAAGGTCCATGTAAGAACATTTCCTGACTTCCGGTTAAAGCCAGCAGATTCAACGTACTCATTTACCCTGACTCCCTCCTGAATTCTCTCTAAAATAACAGTAAACAAGCAACCAAAAAAAAACCCAAACAAACAATAAAACTGGTCTAAACTCATAAGCACAAAAAATGGACAAGAAGAGATGAGGGAAGCCAACACCTCTAGTGATGTGGGAAGCTGTCAGCGGGTGGGGACTGATATTGCAGAGCAGAGAAAGGCCCAAGGGAAGTTCTGGGAAAGGAACGCTGCTGGAGGATTACTCCTGTGACGGAGGAGAGGGGTGAGGCTGGTGGGAGAGGGTGTTTTGAGAGTCTTGATAAGAAATAGACAATCCTCCGTGATGACCTTCATCACCAGGCCACTGCCAAATAGCTGTGCAGCCCAAGTGATCCCAGGTGAACGGGCTCTGGACCAGCAGAGCATCAATAGAATGCTTGGTTAGCCCACCATATCGAAGGATTAGTCTACACCCATACTGCCCAAGACAGGAGGTACTCATCACATGTCTTATGCAGCACTTAACATGTGGCTGGTCTGCAATTTTTAAAGAGTCAGTATTAATGAGGTCAAAAACCAAAAATTAGTGGGGTTTCTATACAGAAACCTGAAAGAGATATTATTGTAAATAATTTCTCTTTCAGGTTTCTGTATAGAAACCTGAGGAATAAGAGGAATAAATACCTGGGAATAAATTTAGCCAGGGTGTGAAGGACTCAGACAGTTAAAAATATAAAACACTGGAAACAGATATTAAATGGAAAGATGTTCCATGTTCATGGATTGAAAGACTTAATATTGTAAAGATATCAGTCCTACCCAAAGTGATCTAAAGACTCAATGCAATCCTGATGAAAAATTCCAATACCCTTCTTTACAGAAGTGGAAGCACCAATCTCAACTCCACATGAAATGACAAGAGGTCTCAAATAGCGAAAGCAATGCTGAAAGAGCAGAGCAGAGTTCGAGGTCTCCCACTCCTGGTTTTGAAATACACGATGCCGTTCAAGTAATCAAAGCTCCCTGGCTCCAGTGTAACAGCACACATAAATATCAATGGAATAGAGTTGATGGTCCAGAAATAAACGTATACTTCTCTGGTGAACGGAGTTTTGATAAGGGTGCTAAGTCCGTTGGATGAGGGAAAGAAGAGTCTCTTCCATAAAAGTTATTGGGAAAATTAGATTTCCACACGTGGAAACATGAAACTGGATTATTGCCTCACACACAAAAACAAATTTAGGAATATGAATATGAAAACCAAATACCCAACTAAAAAGGAGGGGGGGAAAGGGGAAAAATGGTTAGCGGGGGAACAGGGCACCACTTGGGTGGGGAGGGTATTGTTTCTATCTCCACAGGGAAAGAGGGACCAGACTTCAACCTGGTGCTCCAAGATGTGAATGCAACATACCGGCATGGAGTGGGGAACCAGTGGAGAGGTCTGGGGGGCCGGCCCCAATCCCAACTACGTGGACAGCTGCCCCTCTCCCCAGAGGAATTTATTTCAGAGGACAGCACTGAGGCTGCAGCTCAGGGAGAGGGACATGTCTGATCAGAGCACACGGGAGGAAATGAAAGGGGAGGAAGAGAGAATAGAGCACATCCTGGCCCACCAAGCCTTAAGGACGATATTCCCGCTCAGAACAGCCAATCCACAGAGAAGACCATATGGCCAGCCCCACTATGAGACACAACATTCCTCACTGACCCACAGCCCTACAGGGGACAACACTGGAGATACAGTGTGGGAATTGAGCCTGATTTGATCCCGCCACACTGAGGCAAAACACTAAGGGTGTGCAACAGAACAGCAAGGGGAACAGAGCAACGAAGTTCCCAGGGAATACCAAAAACAGACTTTGGGGCCAGGGCTTGGCACCCCATCAGACTTGACCAGAAAACACTCCTAAAGGCCAACAAACAGTCCTTGAACTAACTACAGGCTTTTCTTTTGTTGTTGTTTTGTCATTGGCTTTTTGTTGTTGTTGTTTTGTTTCCTTTTCTTTTGTTGCTTGGTTTTGCTCTGTCTTGTTTTTCTGCATGTTATTATCTCTGCAGGTCTGTCTAAATAAGATAGGCTG